GGAATGTCCTTTAGCTCACAGAATATTACAGTACTGTTACTTTTACTTCTAATAATAATTTACATAATCTTTATATTCCTGCCTTCTCATAAATTACAGTTCATTCTAAATATGTACATAATTTACACTTATTATAATTTAACATCTCTCCATGAGCCAGAATTTGGATAAAACTTCTCTTCATTTGCAGGACTTAATTAGAGCCCACGGATGCCTCTGGCAGATTCTGTCTTGCTGACAGAGATCATGGCTGAAATCAGGAAACAAGTGGGAGTTGTCTTTAACCAAGACAGCCAGTGAAGCCACTGTCAAGCAGAGTTGTTTCACCTGACCAAATCCTACTAAGATGTAACAGAAGGAGTTGCTTGAGGCAGCTGGAATGAGCCGATCAATCAGAGCACCACGTGACAAAGCATGGCAGCTGTGAAGGACTCAGTAAATTTTTGGAATAGGTAAATGTTGGTTGCATTATTAGGCAGTTTGCTCTCCGTGTAGTCTTTTTAGCTTCAATATAGACCCATGATAGCTCAAAACATAGTTATCCTACCCCAGATCTACTATGTAAATACCGTGAAATACACTACATGAGAAACATTGCCAAATTTTGTATTACACAGATTAAGCAGAGAGATTGAAAATATGATTTAAACCAGATGAATCGCAACGCAAACAGATAGAGCAACTGCCTTGTGTGTCACCATCCTGTAATGAAGTCCTAGTCCTTTAAAGATAAACTCAGCTGTCACTGTGAGGTGTGTGATTGATGAATCCAATAAAGGGCTGATTGTGAAAGCCATGTTTCATTTCAAATATCATCCGCTGGAGAGAAGAAGAGACTTCGAGTGGCACATTTGAATCAAAGTGTTCTGTCATGTCTGACCCTTGCAGCGGTGTACAAATAGATTCAAAAATAGGTTGCACTGTCTGATTTTCAAGGTTAAGACTTAGAAAGGTTTTTATGAGTCAGCGAAGGGTATGGCTCATTTAATACTTCGTCTCAACCTTATAGGCTCACATGACTGATAAAAACTGAAGAATGATTCACTGATATAAAATTTACCCCTTAAATTCAAAATGATAGATTTTGATTATTTGATTAATGGATAATATAATTATATACATATCTCTCTATACATCCTGTGCTGTGTGTCTTAGTTAAAATAGGCTAAATAAATGTGACATGCAGCTTTAAACAAGGTAGTAAGAAATATCAGCTCTAACATGTCCCCTGTTTTTTGAGAAACAAGTGAGCTCAAGTGATTTATGTCGTACAAACAAATAAATGATGCTTTCCATTTTAAAATCAACAGTAGCTCAAGATATAACTAGAGCAGTTATTATGCCATGAACCAACGTTTAGACTACAAAATATACAACTAATTTACAACTGATGTGATTGTAGTAGAATAAAGTTACATCAAACTAAACACATAACAGACAAATTAAAAATATTGCAAGTATTATCATAGGTACTTTACCAATCCAAAGGAAAATTAAAATGCCAGTGCAGCTTGATTAAGACACATTTTTAACATTAGTCAGCACAAAACATAAAGCAAGGAAATAAAAGTCAATGTAGTGTTATTACACATCGATTGAAGGCAAAGAGCTCCCCTTAGTGGGGTAAGACGAGATAAGAAATTGGAACAAAAAAGCACATTGGCTTAAATGCTCTCCTTTCATGGCTAATATTAGAATTTGGTTTTTAATACCACTCCGTCTGCATGGTGTTATTTTTATTCCACAAATGCAATACATTTTAAGAAGACACATTATTGGTTCCAATGTTGGCAGCACTTTCTGGAAAATATCTGGATGGCTGCTAAAAATGTAACAGAGGCAATCCGCTGTATCGTGCAACAATACTGCAACAATATTGCTTCAAAATTTAGATAGCTGTTGCATTTTTAGCTTTTGCCTTTATTTCAAATGTATTTTAAATACCTTCATGTGGTGATTTTGCATTTTTGTAATCCTATTTATTTATTTATTCCTTCTTTTTTTTTCTTTTGTAGCATTTTGTTTCTTTTCATTGATTCAAAGCTATATTATATAACACTGCAATGCCCGTATCTCCATATATCTCCACTGTGATGCAAAAATACTGGCAAACTTAAAAAGTTACGTCATAAAGTCCACATGTATGCTGTGTCGCCACTCTGAGGCCGAGTACAGTAGCTGCTGAGTTGAACTTAATCTCGCAATCAGCGGTGTCCAATATGGCAACCAGGTGGGGAAACTCATGACCTTACGGTGGCCCTGAAAACTTCCATTTGCTGAACAACAGATATGTCTTTTATCAAACCACTGTTCACAAATCTACCCAGTCATTCAAACATAAAAATTTCCCTCATCATTCAGCGGTTAGACGTGCTGTTGAAATCAGTTTCTTACATCATTTTATTGACACAGTGTTGTATATCTGGAGTAACACGACAAGAAATCTGCAAAGTATGGTAAGAAAGTTCCGAAACTCCCATCAGCTACGCATGCGTAATCGGTCACGTTATGGTCACTCGTATGATATACCATAGGCTATTTTACTTGGGGGGGGAAATGAACAATAATAATAATACCTGATTTCATTTATGACATATGACATTGAATTAGAATAATATTAGAAGAATATTAGAATTTCATGGGCGTGATTTAGACGTCACGTACAAGAAACAGTAAGTATAATGTTACCATGGATACAGTGAGACACGCTACTCTGTACACTGTTTATATATTTTTGAAAAGGTCAATGCGCTAAAATAATTAATATCAGTTTCTTGTGCTGATATGCTGATATATATCATGGGATTACATTAATAGTGATGAAATCTTAAAAATGAGCGGAATCTTGGGCAAGTTCTGTTGCGTAACCGTTGCTGTCTTAGTACACATCTATCGTCAGTTTTAAGATTTTAAGAAAAATATCAATACGCCCAATAATGTGAAGCAAAAATAAACTGTTAATGAATATTGCGAGAATCTTTATTTCCTACGTGAAGAAAAACTATACTTTGTAATGGCCGAGTTTTAAAAAGACAGGTCAGATGAAATCCATGTTTGGTTTTTTCCACGTTATTCCCACCCCCGTTCTTGCACCACCGCTAGAAGTCGCTTAATATCAAAAAGTATGTATTGTTTCTAAAAATGGACTTGTGCTAACAAGCTAAGAGGCAGTTATTTTTACAGGGCAGTCTCGTTTAGTAGGTGTCTTCTCCCGATTTGCAGGATTTCCAAGAGGTCATAGCGCAGGCTTTTTTTTCTCTGAAGCAACACTATAGCCTACTCATTTGTCACTTGTCAACATGGCAACTCGATGGGGACTCTGTGGAGCAGGAAAGATCAGCCATGATTTTAGTGTGGCCATTAAGACTCTGCCTCCGGGAGATCATCGGGTACTCAATTAAAGGAAGTTCGGTACAACATTGTCACACAGAGTGTCCCCTATACACTGAACAGGTGTGCAGTGTGTGCGTTTGTTTGAGTTTGTTTTGTTGTTCTTTTTCTTTCCTTTTCTAATGTTATGCATAGATTGCAGTCATTGCATCGAGGAGTATTGACCGTGCCAAAGATTTTGCCCAGAAACATTGTATTCCTAAGGCCTATGGCAGCTATGAGGAGCTGGCCAATAACCCAAAAATTGGTAATAATCTGACTGCACAATTAGAGATAAGGGTGTGACGGTTTTATTGTTTGGATGAAAAACTTGTGTTCCCACAGACATTGTATATCTGGGAATGCTGCATACAGAACAGTGGAGAGTTGGCATGCTGTTCCTCAAGGCTGGGAAAAATGTGCTGTGTGAAAAACCCTTTGCTATGAACTCCAGAAAGGTTAAAGACCTCGTTGCCACAGCTAAGAAAAACCATGTCTTCCTGATGGAGGTAAGGCTGAAGGGATGAAGTGCTGTCATTTATAGCTTTGCCCTGAGGACACTTGCTAACAGTAGTGGTAACTTAAGGGTCCGTTTTTACAGTGCCACAGAATAAGGAAAGAATTGTCCATTTCAGGAGAAAACCGAAGGCAATTATCTTAAATCTTCTAAATCTCTTTTTTTTTTTACAATTTACTAAGAAAGTGGAAAAAGGTACAATAATTTTTCAATTTTACAACAAAAAATTCCAAATATGCAGATCAACATGGTCTGGACATGGACATGGCAGATGGCTCATAGGGGGTAAAATGATTGGTGGGTTTTTTTCTCTACTATTGTAGGGTCTTTGCCTTACAATTGAAAGCACTTTGAGTCAAGTGTTGTTGTGATAAATAAAATTGAATTGAATTGAATTGAAAGAGGAATTATTGTCATGCATGCAGCTGTTGTAAAAACAGCAATAAGAAAATATAAGTCACTAATGCCTTTCCAAAACAAGTTAATAATCAGTTTGGAAAATGTTATTGTTTTTATTATTATTTGAGGGTTATCAGCCTCACAGGCATGCAGTTAACATTATCTGTGCTCAGATGGAATGGGATTCAGGTTGCTATTGCAACCTGTGGCCACAGCCAGACACATCTGCACCTGGCTTGATGATCACATTTTAATTCCCATTTCGTGCACAATACACCTGCAGCTTTCAATGTTTTTCTGTTCTTGCTTCTTCTAAATTAACTGTTAGCTACATAACATGCAACTGTGTATTTGTTTTTGGCTTACACCACTAAGAAACCCAATGGTCAAATTATATACATGGATTGTAAGAAATTGCCATTCCTATTATTTTACATTATTGACAGGAAAAATTATTGTTCACAGTACAGATTTGCCACAACAGTCATATAACTGAGGAGCTTTATAATAAATGCCTGCTCAGGTGAAACTTCAGTTTCAACTGTTTAGTTCTGTAGCGAGACTGGATCAAAATATCTGGATCTGCCCTTTTCCTCATAGGCCATCTGGTCCCGCTGTTTCCATGTGTATGCTGAGGTGCGCAGGCTGCTGGCAGAGGAGGTGGTTGGGGATGTGAAGCTGGTAAAAGCCTACTTTGGCTCCCCTCAGCTCGACATTCCCCGATCAGTGCAGAAGGAGCTGGGTGGAGGAGCTCTGC